GGCGGCTTGCCACAGCTCTCCCGCCTTGCTTGCAGAACTGCTCAGCCACGAAAGGGAACTTCGTGCGCAGCTCCGGGCCGTATCCCGATTCCATCGACTGGAGGAAGAAGGGAAATTACGTGACACCTGTGAAAAACCAGGTGAGGGACTAACTGCTGTGGGCAGGGCACTGCGATGGGAAGAGGAGTGCTGGAGCCCCTCCGTGGCTGGGGTGGGGCAGGCTGTGGTCCTTCAGGCAGGGCATGAGTAGAAGGCGAAGCCCAGCTGCTGGCAGGGCATGGAAATGCTGCACTCTTGGCATGAGCCCTTCTGCCCCGGTCCTGATGTTTGGAGCAGGCTGGTGACCCCACGGCATATTGTGGAGCAGTTCCTCTCTGGTTCCTCACACAGGGCGCCTGTGGGAGCTGCTGGACTTTTTCCACCACGGGGTGTTTGGAGTCTGCTATTGCTATTTCGACGGGAAAGCTCCTCTCTCTGGTAAGAGGTTTTCCTTTCCTGTGCACTGACAGCAAGTCCTGCCTCTGGTTACCTGCCGGGGCTGCAGTGGGGCTGTTTGTTCCGAGTCTGGCAGCAAAACTGCTGGGGAGATGCCAGGCAGCGTGGCTGGGAGCTCTCTGCGCCCAGGGATGTGCCTGCTGCCATCCCCTCTTGGGGTGTCCTGCTGCTCGGGCTTGGGCAGAGCCCTTTTCAGAGCAGGACAAGAGCGGAGGGGCCAGAGCAAGCACGGTTAGCCAGAGCCTGGTCTGGTGCTGCCAGCCAGCCAGAGCTCCTTGCTGCAAAACAGCTTGCTGCAGCACATTGTGAAACTGTTTATTTTTAAACTCCCAGAGGATTTGTGTTCTTGATGAACCAGAAAGATGGTAGCCACTTATGTGACTTATCGGAATAGCTGAGGGTTGGGTGTAAGTGTTAAAAACAAACCTGACCTTTGAAAGAGATCCTGGCTAGCACTCAAGCGGGTGGGACAGTGTCCTGGCAGGTGTGAGGAGCAGTGCCTCCTGCAGCCAAATCATCCTGGGCTGCTGGCTCCCTGCCTTCCTCATCGCCCTCCTTGGGACTGAAGCCCTTCAGCTGGGTGATTCCCGCTCACGGTGGACGGAGATCCAACTGCACGGGTAGAACCATCGCTCCTCGGGCGCCTTTTGTCTCACTTATTCTGAAGGCAGGTTTTGCATGTAAACTGACTCAAAAAACTTCTCCGTAGGCGGAACAACAGTTAGTTGATTGTGCCCAGGCTTTTAACAACCATGGCTGCAGTGGGTAAGTAATATAAAGTAATAAAGACTAGAAATGAGAGCATCTTATGTTCCACAATTGACAATCATCCTCAATCCTCGGTGTCAGGATCCTTCCAGATTTTGGAATGCGTTTCCCGGAGATGTGTCAGGGAAAATGGTTTTGGTTTTGATTTGCTTATTCTAGTTTCACTCTCCCTAGAGGTTAGAAATCTCTGGCATTTCTTGATCTCTGTTGTTCTCCCTGTTTATGAGGTTTTCTTCTGCTGTTTGTTGTGTTACAGTGTCTTCTGACACTGCAGTCATAGGTGCTGCGGAGCTGGGCATTAATGTGCTCAGGGAAAACAAGAGGAGTTTTGTCTGTTGCTCTGCTTATGGGTCATGCGCATCTCGTGGCGCTCTGAGGAACCCACAGAAACCTCTGCTTCCCCTTTGGTAAATTCCTACTGGCACTGCTAGAGAAGGCAGAAAATAAAGCTTTCAGAATTGTTCAGTCTTCTGTTAAGATAAGTGGTCCTTGAAAAACACTTGGAGAGCTGAGCAAAACCACTCTTAGTGCTTCTTGTTTTTCTCGTGACTCCTCCTTGGCCCTTTTCTTGCGAGCACTCCCTGATCACACTCTCCTTTTCTTCCCTCTGTGAGACAACGCTCCCCGAAAGTGGCCAGGGAAGCAGTTGCTGCTGGAGATGTGGGTCCCTTGTCCTCTGCATGCTGTGTAGCTGGGGACCCCAGCCAGGCTGGGCAGAGGTCATGGAAAAACACCTTCCAGTGTAATAAAGAATAGAAATGAGAGCATCTTATGTTCCACAATTGACAATCTTCCTTAATCCCCAGTGTCAGGATCCTTCCAGATTGCAGAGCTGAACTGGCACAGCTGGTGCTGGGTGGGCAAGCTGCCTCTGCACCTTCGGGGCTCCTGTGTTGGCACCCCTGGGCGTGAGGTCTTCCCGTGCCTGGGTAGGATCTTGCCAAACGGCCTGATAGGCTAGGCCTGGAGTCCCAGGTGGAGATATTGCGGGAGGGGACTGGGGTTTGTGCCTTTAGAGGGTCCGGGATGCGCGCTGTCTTTCCCTGCAGGAACGGTGGTGCCTTTACTCTGCAGAAGCCACAGCGTCACCATCCTAAATAACGTGTGTTCTGGCTGTCTTGTCTTGCAGGGGGCTGCCCAGCCAAGCCTTCGAATACATATTGTATAACAACGGGCTCATGGGGGAGGACACGTACCCGTACCGGGGCAAGGTATTCCCAGTGCAGCTCGGACGCGTTTCTGCAGCGGCAGAGCAGGGTCCTGAGCAGGCTCTAACGCTGGTTCCTTTCTGTCCGCACAGAACGGCACCTGCAAGTTCCAGCCAGAGAAGGCTGTTGCGTTTGTCAAGGATGTTATCAATATCACGCAGGTAAGGCCCTGAGGGTTGTATTTCCCAACTTGCAGGGTCTGTGCCAGGCCTGACCTGGAAGGTGCTGGGGTGCCCTGAGGCGCGCCAGGCTCCACGACACGAGCTGCAGCCTGCTCGCTCTTGTTGGAGGAGTGAGGTGCTGGCGTGTGCGCTCATTCCTCCTCTCCTGCGCTGCTGGCTCCCTTGGCTGGAGCTGGCACCCGTGAACTGCTCTCATCAAAATACAGGCACCGGTCCCTGCCTGCTTTCCACCTCCAGGCTGTAAGAGTCTTGGTTCTTGTCTCTCGATGCAAGCAGCACTTGTTTCCTTGCCTGCGAGCAGAAGCCCGGGGTTAGCCATCCCCCCTGCGCTCTGACTGCTGGCCCGGGCATCCTGACATCATCGGAGATAAATGACCCTGGGGTGCTCTTCTTGCAGTATGACGAGGACGGCATGGTGGAAGCTGTGGGGAGGCACAACCCGGTGAGCTTTGCGTTTGAGGTGACGAGTAACTTCATGCACTACAGAAAAGGAGTCTATTCCAAGTGAGTGTTTCTGAGCCTGGAGGGCACGGGTAAGGGAAGGGGTAGAGCTGGAGTCTCTCACGTCCCCATTTCTCCTGCTTTGCAGCACTGACCGCAGGGACAAGGGACTGCAGGCTTGCATCTTCCTTTGAACAGAAAATAGAAAACATAAGTAAACTGAGACTTGATACGCTATTTATGAGAGCGCAGCACAGGGAAGAGACAACAATGTGCTTGCAGCCAGTTTGCTGCTAGGAACCAGTCCAGCCTGAAGACCAGTCTGTATCTGGGACAAAGCTCAGCAAGCTTATCCTTAAAACGATAATCAGTGTATTTTGGAAAGA